GACATTTTATAAAGTGAAATTCCTGAAAAACTATCCCCCCACTTTAAAATATATATTAGGTTTATGCTTTGCTTTCAGTCAGGTATAATGTCAGGGTACAGCCTAATGAGGAATCTTGAAACATTGCAAGTTCCAATGTCTATCTCTTTAGCTTCCCAAAGCTTTGCTATTCTGATCCCATAGTTAGCAGTAACTTCCAGTTATGTCAGCTTGTGCCAAATTATGTGATGGTTCTTGTTCTGGCATAAATTAAACTTCACTTCCAAACTAAAGTCAGGGTTGAGATTATATTATTAAAGGAGCAAGATCTTTCACAGGACATGAATTAATATTATTAGAGGTTAAGACAATAAAAGAATCAATGAAATTTTGTCTTTATTTTTGCATTACTGAACCGTAAACAAAATGGTTCCATAAACAAAGATGAATGGAATTAATTTTCTTTTTGTCTCATACGTGGAAGTTGTTAAGTTCATTGCTGTTATCTGATTTTGTTCAGGGGCTTTTTCTTTCTTTGGTGTATGAAAAGGTCACACCAAACAGTCATATCATAGGAAATAGAACATTCCAACCACAATATGGTTATCTACAAAATAAATTGACATGTTTCTTGAAAAAAAAAAAAATTGGACATTGGCTGTTAAAGATCACATTTTAATTTTACTAGAACATTTTCCAGAGGTACTGCTCCCATAGTAGGGTTTAAAGCATTCCAGTGTGAAACAGCAAAAGGAATCAGCTACTTATCATTTAGGTGCTGGTGGTTGGATTTGTGGCAAATCCATGCCATATGGCTACTCTGCTCAGAGGGAAATGATGGCAGCCCTAAGAGATTTACCCCATCCTTTTGGGCTGTTGCCTCAGACTCAGTTGCTTTGATCTTCTGTTGCGCAGCTGGGAAGAGTAAAGGCTAGTTTTTAAGTGTCCTAAAAAGAGAACATATGGGACCATTGTTTTAGACTGTACCTTCATTTCATGTAAGCATTCTTTTGAGGGTACAAGTGTTTTCATTTGAACTCATCAGAAAAATGTTTGGGTTATTTAAAAAAATAAAAAAGCTAAAAAATATTATTTCTTTCCTAAATTCCAGTACTTTATTTCTTGCAAGATACATTGCTTTATTCCCTTTTACAAACAAATTTCAAGTGTATATAGGAAAGACAAGTGTCATTCATGTAACTTTCCCATTGGTAAGTATATGTTTAATGTCTTTTCAAGTGCTGTTATTCTTACTTTGTCTTTTTTTGGCCAAAGTTTACCACTTACTCCAGTAATTTTTACGTTCAAGTATAGTGAGACCAGTAAATGTGTTCTTCTAGTCACTGGAAGGTAAAATACTTTGGAGGGGTGATGCTTGAAAATATGATCAGACTCTTTACAGTATAACAAAAAGGAGCAAAATTTACTGTAATAACAGTCGTATATAGTAGAAAAGTTTTCTGAATGATGGATAGAAAAACCAAAAGTTTTCTAGTCTTGTTTTATTTTCCATTTCTACTATGAATTGCCATAAAACTCCCTCATGTCATTCTTTGCTTTGACTTAATGAGAGAAGCATGGTTGTTTATTCATCTTTAGTAACAAAGTTGTTGTCCACAGAAAAATGTGAGGGAGATAAACCTAACAATCATAGATGGTTGTAGCATAGTAATAAAGAGATTATGTTGGCAAATGCAGGCTTCCTCCACATGTATTTTTGTTAGTTTTTCCTAGGGTGTTTTTTGCATCCATATTCTAAACACTATCATGATACTTCTATTTATTGTTATCACCATCAACAGCAACTAGAATCTGGCTCACAATTCCCAGGAGAAAACCCAAACCAGTTGTTCCTTTATGGAACAACTCCAGTCTTCTCACATTGCAGTGACCCTGGCAACATTTTGAAACTTTCTGACCACAACAGATATCAGACCTATGTCCGAGTTCTGATGTAGTAAAATGAATGAATTCTTTTTCCTCTCAATTGTGTGTTTGTGTGTAGTTCCGATTCCTAAATATTTCCGAATGCTCTCTCGTTTCTTCTGCATTTCCTCTCATAATGTTCTTATTGATCTGGCAGGTGTATTCGGAAACCTTTGAGGGTGAAAAGAACACAAGTTCTCACTCCCATCACTTAGCAAAAAGATCATAGAGGTTTTGAGTAATTTGCTAATAGCCATTATAACCAAATATAAAACTATACTTGAACCTATGTATGTTCTCCATAATTGGGTATGGAGCAGCAGGGACTGGGGAAACAGACTTATTTTCCAGGGATTCTTAAGTCTTTTCAAAATATTTTTTTAATTGGAAAATATTTATACAGTCATATGAGTTGAAAGGAAACGGGCAAAATAAAAATTGCAATTTTGGAATTTTAAAATAATTTAGTTATTTGTATGAGGTGATTAGGTGCATAGCTTTAAAGTCAACCTGGATTAAAATTCTGGCTTTGGGACTCACTAGCCATGTGAACTTAGGATTTATTTTCTCTATGCTTTATTTTTCCTCATGACTAAATATAAAATTAAGGTATACTTCATAATTCAAGGAACTTACAAACTTAAAAATATATATATAAAGTACATTTTTTGCACTTAACACAGGGTCTAGAGCATAGAACAGTATACCATGTATGTTCTTATATCAAAACCTTTGTAGTTGTTGCTGTTCTCTTGTCTGAAAGCTCTTTTCAGAGATGTCGACATGGTTCATTCCTGACCTCCTGAAAGTCTGAAATGTTACCTTCTCAGAGAAAGGAGCCTTCTTTGTCTTTCTGGTCTGAAATGTTGTTTCCTTAGTGCTCATTAGCCTATAATAAGTATTTTAATTTAGGCATTACTGTGTTAGAACTTAGTATATTATTCACTTACTTGTTAATTTCTCTTTTCTACCTAAAGAAGTTTGGGAAATTTTTGTTTTGTTTATTGTCTTGCATTCTGTGTCTGAAAATTGTCCTTGACACAAATTAGGCAATCAGTAATTAAGTGAGTAGCAAATGTTCAGTAAGTATTATTGGTTATACCTGCTGTATTGAATTGAGTATTTTTTGTAATTATTAACATTTGCTGATTATTGTGGGATGTACTTAAGAAATTTATGAAGTTATGCTGAGTTTATTTGAAAACCGAAGCCCCGGTCTGTAGTAAATAACTAGTTTAAATTATAGCAAACTTCTCACAACATTGCAAATTAAAATTTAATGAACTCCAATGTGATGGAAATGTGTTCACATCCACCCTTTATACAAAAGTTATTAATTAGGATAATAGCTTAACCTTTATTGAGTGCTTATGATAAATCACAAGTGATAACACAGCAATATAGTTGAGGCATGGGCTCTAGAATCAAATGTTCAAATCCTAATTGTACCCCTTCCTGGCTGAATGACCTTGTATTAGTTAACCTGTCTGACCCTTGTTTTACTCAGCTATACAAAGGGAATAGTATTAATTTATTTATAGGTTTTAGAAAAAGTACCTTTCTCATAGAACTCAATAAATGAATAAGTGCCAATGCTTTCTAAGCACTTTACATACATTTGCTTAATCCTCATGACGGCCTTATGAAGTAGGAACTATTTCATGTTCTTTAGTAAATTGTTTGAAAGGGAAATAACTACTTATAAATATACTTACTTTATAGGAGTGAGTTTGAGTAGGAGAGTACTCAAAACAATTTTTTCTACTCTGAAAGTAAGGTTATATGGAGCAAATTATTGAATCAGTATTTTCTCTCTCAAATTTTGATGTTTAATTTGCCTTCATGTTTCCCATTTCTATATAGCTAATGAACTTTTCTTTGAAGATGGAGTTCTAGCATTAGGAATAGGGTAGTTTAAAGGATCAATTTGAAGTATTGTGTTAAATGTTATTATTTTCCTTTTTTGGACACAAAGTAGTATATTTCAATGACTTAAGTTTCAAAGATTTTACTTTGTGACAAAATTAAACTTCGGCTAAGGCATTATTGAGACTTAAGCTTTGTGGCAGCAAGTACTGTACTCACGAAGAGGCACTAGAGTTCCTTGGAACATAATAAGATCAAGAAACACTTATTTGAACTATATGATATTCAATTTGGACATTTTATACATGACTTACGTGAATCAGATGTTTCAAGGTGAGTTGTGTGAAGAAAGTCCTCAGATAGAAGAATGATAAATTACAGGAATAGAAGATGGATCTTATGATGAAAAGTAAAAGTTAAAGGGGTTGCTCAGTCTTCTCCCCTTTTCTTAGACTGAAGGACAGGACATGAAGAATATGTAGACATAAATAAAACCGGTTTTCAAAATTATAAACCTTGAAAAGAATGTATAGAGAAACTGTAAACTGTAGGAAATTAGGAGATAGTTTTGACCAGTGGTTCTCAATTTTCCATGCATAAAAGCTTCTGGAATTGAGAGTTAAAGGACAGCTCTCTGGTTCCCAACCAGAGACTCTAATCCAATGGGCCTGTAGTCAGGCCAAACCATTTGTAGTTTTCAAGTACTTCCACACTATTCTGATACAGATAGCCCCTGAAACACATGTTGGAAAAAACTGGTGATGGAACTGAATGTATGCCCTGTGCACACAGCGCACACACACAAAGTTTTTCCATCATCTCAGATGAGTTCTAAATTCACATACAGACACCAGAGTTTAGAAGAACAGTGAGATGAATTTTATTGTTCGGTGTTCTTCGTTGCAGTTATTAACGAAGTCACATGTTAAGCTTCATAGAGAAAACTAAATTTTAAATAACACATAACCATCAGTACTTGAGTAAGGAGAAATTAAATCATAAATTATACCTTTGAGATCTGATAAGTCATATTCAGATAATGTTTGGACCATCTTGGCACAGAGGATTATAAAGGAACAAATTACTAAGTATTTATATTTCTGTTGTGTTGACATTTACACTTGGTAAATGAACATTAAATTATAATAGCCACTGCTTGCTGTGTTCTTCAGTTATCCTCTTAAATTCTGTTTCTGTTGAGTTTATGTTTTTGTTTATTCCCCCTCTAGGATGGAGCTATGACATTGAAGAGAGGAAAGTTCCGAAACCCAAGTCCAAGTCTTATGGTGCAAACTTTTCTTGGAACAAAAGAACAAGAGTATCCACAAAATAGATTGGCACTGACTGTATCTCTACTTGACTGTGAATAAAGTCAGCTGTGCAGTATTTATCGCCCATGTATACATCTCTTAATCACCTAATAAATTTGACCTTAAAATTATAGATATATTTTGCAGTTTCTGTTTTGTTTTTTAATGTCTCAAACACGTTACAATTTCCTATGTAGAGAGGAGATTTTAGGTGATCATACTTCTAGGAAATTGTGGTACTTAGAATCTATAAAAGGGAATGCTTGAAATCAGTTGCAACCTTGAAGTTTTGTGCTTGGCTTTTTATATAGCTATTTTCAAGTTAATGGTGTTTAAGATATCAGCCATCATTATTAAAATGTTTAGAAATTCTTCTGTTCTATCATAAGTAGAGAAGTATATAACACTACAGTCTGATAAACATTAGCCCAAATCTCCTTATTAAAATTCTCTTTTTTTAATTAGAACTTTTTTTATTTTCTAAGCTTTTATAAAACTGAATGAATTGTGTTCCATACTAATTTCTGCCCATCAACACATGTCATGAAGTGACTGTGAAGTGTCCAGTGAATATTTTATAATTAGGAAATGAAAGATTCAAAGAAAAAAAAAAAAAACAGTTCATTGTTGGGAACTTTAGTGTTCTCTGTAGTTTTTTGAAAATATAAGTAAATACATGTTTTTATTGATTTACTATCAGGTTATATGTTCTTAAGCTCTTTAATAAACCTTTGTAGACTAACCCTCATAATAACCATTAGATAGGTACTATTATTTTCACAATTTACTCAAGAAAAAACATAAATCAAGGCTTACAAGGATTATATAACATGCTCATGATCACACAGATCTTATATGCCAAAGCTAGGACTGGCACCTGTATCTTGTCTTTAAAGCAAATATCCTTAACTACTATGGTTACAAAGAAATAGATTTGATTAATGGCAGCTTATTTCTTTGGATTGTTAATATGTTCTTTAATGTTTTTAAAGTTATATTTTTTCTCAGAATTGCATTTCATAAAAACAAATAGCACATTGATCTAGATCAATAAGAAAATACATCAGTTATTAATCTATACAACTTTGTTTTGGAGAACATGTTGAAAATCTTTGTTTAAAATGTTAATTCTAAAAAATTTAATTCTAGGCAGACAATCTGAGGGTACACAGAGAGATAAATATGCAAAGATATTTATTACAGAATTGTTTTTAAAAGCTAATAATTTGAAACAGTGTCTATTTAATGAAGTTAAAAACAACAAGAAATATCTATGAACTTTTAAGAATTATGTTCAAGTATATTGCTACGTGAAAAAAAAAAAAACAAGAATAATAAGTGACATGTGGGAGTGACAGGGTAGCAAATGTTTCCATACACACACACACACACACACACCTGTATATATACACAGTTATATACATGAAGTTTCACTATAATTCATGTTGGCTATCTTAAGCTTTTCTTGAAAATATGTGTTGTTTAATAACTAATACATTAGAATTTTATTTCAGGTGAAAGGTAAACTTTGAGCAATGAAAAAATACAGCTGTTAAGATGTTAACAGTTTTATGAAATTCATAGAAATTAACATTCTCTTGAACAACAAATGAGTGAAAGAAGAAATTAAAAGGGAAATTTTTAAAATGTCTTGAGGCAGACAAATGGAATTCCAACATACAGAATTTATGGGATGCAGCAACAAAAACTAACAAAACTAAGAAGAAAAAAACTACAAACATTTAGTTAGGAAAAAAAGGGCACACTCAAAATTACAAAAGAAGAGACTGTTAACCACAGAAATAGAAAGGATCATATAACGATGAACAAATATATGCCAACAAATTAGCCTAGAAGAAATGGGTGAATACATAGACATGTACAACCTACCACAACTGAAGCATGAAGAAACAGAATCTGAGCAGACCAATAACTGGTAAAGAGACTCAGTCAGTCTTAGAAATGTCATCAAAGAAAAGCCCAGAACCTATGGCATCACTGCTGAGTTCTACCAGACATTCAAAGAGCTAATAAAAATTTCAAAAAATTGAAAAGCAAGAAATAGTTTCAAGCTTATTTTACAAAGTCAGCATTGCCCCTGTCACAAAGCCAAACCAAATGCATTACAAGGTATGGGTGTGGGGAGAAACCAATATCCTTGGCTCCAGAGCAGATGTGACACCCTGCCTCCTGGGGACTCAGGCTACTTACACACTGGAAGTAACCCCTCCCCTTCCTGTGAAGCAGTGCCCAGGGGTTCCAGGCCTCTGGAATCAGCAGAGCAGAGCACTAGTACCTACCAGTATCACAGCTGATGTGGCACCCCCATCCCTAATTATGCAGACAGTCCAGTGACCCATGTAGCTGTGCTTCTTGGTGCTCAACATGCCACGGAATAAATTGCACTGGCTGAGTGGAGCTATTAGTTTTCTCACCTATCTAGAGGTAGAATATTCCCCTGCATTCTGAGCTTCCTAAGGCACCCCACCTCCCTCAGGAGTGGGTACATTACAGCTCTGTAACCCCAGGCCCAAATTAACACAGCATCTTGCCAATTCTGGGTCCTTGCTACTGTTCTACCTTGGCTTACAGAGCCTGTCCTACTGCTATGTCCCACCATCTGAGGGCTCAGAGTCATAACTACATGGTATCTTATCCCTCAAAGCACAAGATGCCATGTGCTCTGTTGGTTTCTGGTTCTAAACTACAGCTATTCCCTAAGCCCCTAGATCATCCTTTCTTCCTTGGAGCTATACCAGTGCTGTGCCCCTCCCACGTAGGTAAGAATCAAGGCTACCTTGCAGCCCCTTGTGCCTGAGCTACTGGAGGATACCTCAGAGAAACAGCTTCAGGCTTATTGAGGGACCCAAGACTCAAAGTCACTGATGTTACAGTATTTTCATAATGTGCTGAACCTAGAAACATGACTCCACTGCTGCTCTAAGCACCTGTATGGTTGTCTGTGAGATGGTCACACCCAGCACCCAAAGAAATTCCCTCAGTTAAGATTCCCCATTGTGGGGAAGATAGGGAAAAGAACATCCATCCCTAAAGCCCTTACCCTGATAACCTGCACAGCCACTGTCACTGTCTAGACCACTGACGCATTTATAGTCATTGCTAGCATTGATCACAATTGAAGAAGCTGCTTGGAAACCACACCACCACAACCACACAAAACCAGAGTTACCACACCTTGCCCAACTGGCACCCTTAGACCTATCTATGGGTGAATTCTCTCTAGCCACTCCAAAGTTGGAATACATGACTGCACCACTAGATACACAGACATTAACAAGGGAACATAAGAAATATGAAAAAGTCAAATGCCAAAGGAACAAAATACTTCAGTAACATTTCAAAGAAATGGAAATTTACAAATTAAGAAGGGATTCAATTCAAATAATAACTTTAAGAAAACAATATAAGAGAATACAAATAGACAATTCAATGAATTCAGGAAAATTTATGATCTGAATGAGAAATTCAACAGAGATTAACTATTAAAAAAGAAAATGAAGATTTCAATCAGTGAAGTAACAAGTACAATTGGGAGCTTCAGGCAAAACCAAGCAGGTCTTCTGAAATTATTCCATCAGAAGAAAAAAGGAAGGAAAAATAAATAAAGACAGCATATGAGACACCAGTAAACAAACAGGTGTCTACAGTATAGCAGTTTAAGAGGGAGACAATTGGGGGAATTTTTGTTTTCCGAAAAAATAGATAAGAACATTCAGATTGAAACTCAAAAGTCTCTGAGTATACTCAGCCCCATGAGGTCCTCTATAAGGTACATTATAACCTATCAAAAGTTGAAGAAAGAGACTTTTTAAAGCAACAAGAGAAAAGCATCAAGTCACATATAAGAGAACTACCATTAGACTGTAGTGGATTTCTCAGCAGAAACCTTACATGTCATGAGAATACATGATGATGCAATCAAAGTGCCTAAAGAAAAATCTGTCCGCCAAGAACACTATACCATGCAAAAGTTATTCTTCAGGAATAAAAGAGTAGTCTTTCTCAGGTAAGCAAAGCTGAGGGAATTTATTACCACTATACCTGCCTTACTGGAAATGCTTGAGGAAATTGTTCAAGTGGAAACAAAAGGACAATAATTACTATCCTAAATACATATGAAAGTATAAACCCACTGGTAGAGGCAAATAAATACATTGTCAAATCCAGAATACTCCACTACTATTATGACATTGTGTAAACCACACAAATCTCTACTATGAGGATAAAAGACAAAATAGTGAAAATAGTTAAAGCTACAATGAACTGATAAGAATACACAATATAAAAAGATGTAAATTGTGACATCAAAAAAGCCTATGGTTTTTGAATGCAACAGAAATGATCAACTTAAAATAGTAGATTATAACTGTTAGAGCTTTTATATAAGCCTTATGGTAACCACAAAACTAAGTACAGAAAATTACCATATCACAGAGGTAGACACCAAGAGGAAGAAAGGAACAAAGGGAGTATAAAACTACCACAGAATAAATGTTAAAATGACAGTATTAAGTTCTTACCTATCTCTACTAGTGTTGAATGTGAATAGAGTAAATACTACAATCAACAGATTGTTTAAATGAATAAAAAACAAAATCCTTATAAAAGACCCACTTAGGCTTTAAAGATACACAGGCTGAAAATGAAGGGATAGAAGATAGAAGATATTCCATGCAAATGGCAACCAAAAGAAATCCAGGGTGGCTATATTTGTTTTTGATAAAATAATCATAAAGTCAAAAGCTGTCCCAATATTGGAGGACTTACAAAAAGCCATTTTTCTGCTGTTGTTGTTACCGAGGTTTTGTTGTTGTTGTAGTTGTTGTTTTTGTTGTTGTAGTTTTGGTACCAGGGATTAAGCCCAGGATGCTTAACCACTGAGCCACATCCCTAGCCTGTTTTATCTATTTATTTATTTTTTAATTTAGAGACAAAGTCTCACTAAGTTGTTTAGGGTCTTGCTAAGTTGCTGAGGCTGGCTCTGAACTCACAATCCTCCTGCCTCAGCCTCCCAAGTCATTGGAATTACAGGCATGCGCCACTATACCCAGCAGAAAGCAAATGTTAATGAACATGAAGGGAGAAATATGTAGTAAAACAGTAATAGTAGAGAACT